ACTATAAGATCTTGGCAATAGTTAAATAATCTAGTTTTCAAAACAACATAATTTGCAAAAAAGTATTTAACTATAAAAATCTATATATTCACCCGCCTGTAGACATTTATCACACTTTCGGGACCATTAAAACACAAGTTTGGTTCACTTGTAATACATGAAAGACAAAGTTAGTGAATTTTTCTCCTAGTAAACAAAAGAGAAGAGTGGAGTAAAGAAATTACACCATTCTCGAATCATTATAAATATCTCTCTTACTCTACATTCATACTTCTATTCTTTCTTAAAAGGTTTTTTGTGCATCAAAATTACTCTAAGTGTACGTGCTGATATAAATTCCCATTACAAATTTCTAAAGTATTTTGACAATCTAGTTAAGACTTCAACATACTCTTAAAATTTTATGTTGAGAGATTAATCTCTGTTAGTCTACCTAAAAAAAATTCTTGAGAACAAGTTTTAAAATTTAAGTCTATTTACCAATTACCATATCTAGACTTATATCTCAAACTAGGATCACCATAGTGCACGGATAAAGTCAAGAAATTTTCTAATTATATGTGTGTTAAAACAAATAATCCGTATTTGTTTTTTTTTTTTTGAAAGCCACCATTGTGGGTGATTATATTAAAGATAGGCTGTAACAAAATCCGGGGATTAGAATCCCAATACATCGAATGAGTCTGAGAAAAAGCATGTGAGGCTAACGAATGCGCCATAAGATTCTCTAATCTAGGAATAAAATTAACAGGACATAAATTAAAAGTTGACAATATAGTCTTGCATTCATCAATGATATAGCCAGTATATGTTCGCATCCGTGTGGCTTGTGTTGTTAGGAGTCGCTGTAGATTTCGGCAATCTGTATTTAGTCGTACTGAGAGCAAACCTTTCTCCTTCAACCATGATAACGCCTCTTTACATGCCAAGGCTTCCGCCATCAACGGGGAAAGACAATCAGGAAGCTGCATATGAAAACACGCCATGAACTCTCCTCCGCTTGTTAGCATAATTGCACCCGCCGTCGCATTCCCATCTGCTGCATGATATCCGGCGTCTATGTATACCTTCGGGACTCCATCCTCCACAGAAGCTGCTCCAGCAGAATCTGACGCCGCAAGAGCTCCAACATTGCTGGATGCTGCCGTAGATACTCCAGCATGTACCGCAGCCCATGCCTGCCACGCTGCAGCCGCTGCTTGCACAACTCGTCTTGGCCTCGGTAACAAACACTCCCATACCGCTTGGTTCCTCGCCCTCCAAATATAATATAGTGTCGCGGCTGCCATAATAAATTGATCAGGGGTGAGTTTTTTCATGATTTCAAGAAACCAAGTTTGAAAAGAATCGGTCGTAATATTCATAATTGGCAAAGTAGATTCCTCACATACTGCTTGCGTGAAAGTACAAGTCACAAGGGCCGCATGCATCGTACACTCGGGGTAAGTAACACACATTGAGCATATTGGATCAACATCCACTCTTTTCGTAATAAGATTTGTTGTGGTAGGGAGAATACCACTGAGGGCTTTCCACATAAATAATTTCCATTTTGGTGGTATTTTCATTTTCCACATGTGTAACCAGTCTCTAAATTCTCCATCCCTGTACTCATAATTTCCAACAACAAGCCTGTATCCCCCTTTAACCGTATAATTTCCATTCGAGTCTCCCTGCCAATACCACATATCCGGATATTCCATGCAAACAGGTACCCTTTCAATTTTCATTACATCATAATCCATAAACAAGTCCCTGAGTATATGTGGATCCCAAGTTCCAGTATCCTGGTCAATCAAACCCACCACTTTTGCTCCTGCCAATTCTTGGGGCATATCAGTTTGAATCATAGGTTCTAAGTCATCAGGTAGCCATGGATGACCCCATATTAATGTATTATTCCCATCCCCAATCCTCCTCCTTATCCCTCCACAAATTAAACTATGGGCTGCAAAAATGCTCCTCCAACAGTAGCTAGGATTATTCCCCAAAACCGCCTCCTCAAATGATGTTCTTGGATAATATCTTGCCTTATAAATTCTTGCTACTAGTGACTCAGGCTTTACCAAAAATCTCCATCCCTGCTTTCCTAACATTGCCAAATTAAAAGCTCGCAGGTCCTTAAAACCCAAACCCCCATACTTCTTCGGGGCACATAACTTGTCCCATGCTTTCCAATGTATATGGCGGTCTGTCCCGGATCCCCACCAATATTTATTCATTGCCCTCTGAATCACAAGACATACTGCCTCAGGGAGTAAGAAAACACTCATAGAAAAGGTAGGCATTGATTGTGCTACACTTTTCAAGAGTACCTTCTTTCCTGCTTGGGATAATAGCCTCTTATTCCACGTGCCAATTCTCTGTTTGATCTTGTCCTCAATATACGAGAACACCGCCCTTTTCCTTCGTCCCACAAAAGATGGTAACCCCAAATACTTGCCAAAATTCTCTGCTTTTGGGACTCCCAAAAGTTGCGCCACCTGATCCCTTTCTTCCTCCGGCGTATTTCTACTAAAGCACACACTGGATTTGTGATAATTGACAGCCTGACTAGACAAAGCCTCATATTCTGCTAGGCACCGCTTTACCTCCCCAGCCTCCTCCACATTCGCCTTAAAGAATAGCAAGCTGTCATCTGCAAAAAAAAAACAAATGAGATATTGGCGGTGCTCCCCTGGCTACTCTGCAGCCATGTATTTTCCCCTGTAGTTGGGCCTGTTGCAAAAGCATAGACAATCCTTCTGCACATATTATAAAAAGATACGGGGATAACGGGTCCCCTTGTCTCAAACCTCTGGTCGGTGTAACATGGCCGGATGGGATACCATTAATTAAAAACTCATATGAGACAGTTGTGACACAATGCATTATCAACTCAATCCATCTAGCATTAAAACCCAGGGCTGTCAACATTTTCTGCAGGAAAATCCACTCCATCCTATCATAAGCCTTTGCCATATCAAGTTTTAAAGCTCCTCATCCCATTCTTCCACATTGCTTTCTATTCAAGTAATGTCCCACCTCCGCAGCTATTAAAATATTGTCTGTTATTAGTCTATCCGGGATGAAAGCACTTTGGGAATCAGAAATTAGTCCCTCCATTAACAGCTTCAGTCTATTTGCCATCACTTTCGCTATTACCCTGTAAACCACATTACTCAGAGCAATAGGCCTTAAATCAGTTACATACTCAGGGGATTTCTTTTTCGGGATTAACACCACATTTGTACTATTTAGTCCTTCCGGGAAAGTTCCAACATCCAAGCAATTAACAACAAAAGCTGCGAAATCACTTCCCACCACATCCCAGAAATATTGGTAGAAACCCGGATTCATTCCGTCGGGTCCCGGGGATTTGTCAGGGAACATATCAAACAAGGCTTTTTTCACCTCTTCACAAGTGAACGGAGAATTCAGAGACTCATTTTGTGCTTGTGTAACTCAGGGTTGTATCATGTCAAATAAAGTGGTGGGCATATCCTGGTGGTTCCCAGAACTAAAAACCTCATGAAAATAATCCATAATAGTTTTATTCATTTCATTCCCCTCAACCCATACCCCATCAACTGTTTTTAATCGATTCAAAGTATTTTTCTTTCTACGGTCAGAAGCATACCTGTGAAAGAATTTCGTGTTCGCATCTGCCCCCTGGAGCCAGTGCTGCTTCGCTCTCTGCTTCCAGAAAGAGTCATCCATTGCCTCGAGCTTACATAATTCGGCCTCCAGACGACGAAATTCAGCCAATGATGCTAAATCTCGCCTACCTCTCAGTCGATCCTGCTCTTTCTGTAACCGCTTTATCTTCTCCCCAAATCTATGGAACTGATCCCCACCCCAGGCAGTGAGTCTCTTTCCACACAACTGTAGACAATCCTGCACCCCAACAACCTCCCCTCTCCCCATGCTCTCTCCACCACCTCCCTACAGCCCTCATCATGTAGCCAAGACATTTCAAATCTGAAATTCCTCACCCTCCGCCTCCCTCCCCGTATATCATCCCGAATCCCTAGGTACAAAGCCGAATGGTCAGACTTTCGTGTCATCATATTTAACACACTAGTCTGCATATTCATACTCCTCCATGCTTCCGTAACAAGGACCTTATCAAGCCGTTCCTCTGACCAATGTACCGTCCCCTCCCTCTTCTTCCATGTAAACGGATACCCGTGCATAGGCATCTGCGCTAAACCATAATCCGTATTTGTTAATCTTGCCAAAAGTTATAAATTTGATTTATAAGGAAAGTATGTGTGTGTGTGTGTATATATATATATAATTTGTTGATATATCTGAACTGATTGGGGAGGGAAGATTATTTGAACATGATTTTACTGCTTTAATTTCTCGTAAATGCTCCTTGAATTTCAATCCCCTTGTTTCAATAAAAATTAGTTAGTTATATTTCTTGAATTGTACTATGATTGGGAAGTGATTAGTATTCATGATTTTTCAGATTGGTGCAGTGTTACGTGAAAATAAGATAGTTGGCTTTAATGATGATTTGAAAGTCATAAAAACTCGATTAATGGAAGCATCCACAGATTTTTTTGTCATCCCAATTGTGGGGAATGTTGGGACAGGAAAAACTACATTTGCATCAAAGATTTTTGAAGACCCGGAAATCAGGAAAATTTTCACCCATTGCATTTGGGTTCATGTTTCACGAGGGTTTCATAGAAAGCAAAAATTCATTGACATTCTGCATCAAATTTACAAGCAAACAGAAGACTTTAGCACGGAGTTAGAAGATGTGTTAGAAGCTAAAGTAAAGGGATTATTAAAGGATGAAAGATACTTCATTGTATTGGATGATGTGTGGGAGAAAGAAGACTGGGATTCTTTAAAAGTTGCATTCCCTAAAAATTTGAAAGGGAGTAGAGTCTTGGTAACCACCTGCAGCGACAATGTAGTTGATTGTACCGGGAAAGCTCATAGTTTAGGAAAGTTGAGCAATAATGATGGTTGGTTGCTAATAAAAAATAATGTTTTTGGTACAGAAGGATGGTGTGACACATTAATTGAAGATCTTGGGATAAAAATAGCAGAAAAGTGCAATGGATTACCACATGCTTTAGTACTGGTAGCTGGTATCCTACGCAATTATATAACTTCTGCTGGTTGGCAACGAGTGGCTGATAATCCGCTTCTAGAAATTAACGGTGAAGACCAAAGCTACCATGAGCTAGTAAAGTTGAGCTACAATACTTTGCCTGGTGAGGAGTTGAAAAAGTGCTTCTTATATTTTGCATATTTTCCCATGGGACATGAGATTGTTGCTTGGAAGTTAATTTGTTTGTGGATTGCTGAAGGATTCTTTGAATATGGGTGGAGCCTTTTGAACAAAAAAGTTGAAGCTTCAAACTATTTGAATATTCTTATTAATAGAAATCTTGTGATGGTAAAGAGAAGAAGTGCAGATGGTCAAATCAAAACATGTTACATTCATGACACATTGCATGAGTTCTGTAGAAGTGAAGCTGAAAAGACAATGTTATTCCATGTAATGGATGAGGGACAAAGATTAAATCCTATAAAAAATTTGAAACTTCTTTGTTCCTACTACACTATGAACATATTTGATCATGTAGAAAACAATAATCCATCTGATTCATTCACCAATCTCTTCAACAAAAGGATGGATCCACGTCAAGAAAAGGATAAATATCTTAGATCTTTGTTGTTGTCCTCCTCACAAAAGAGTAAGATTCATTCGACGCCAGAGCAGTTGGAAACCATCCTAAAAACCTTTAAATATCTTAGTGTGTTGAATATTGAATCCCTCACATTTAGCTCGCTGCCAAATGAGCTTTACTCTGAACACAGTAGCATCAGGTATCTTGCAATCACAGCTGATATCAGTTCCCTCCCCAAGTCATTCGAACATCTTTCATATTTGGAGACTTTACTGATCAAAACCACAGAAAGGACATTACAAATTAATGGAGGCATATGGAACATGGAAGAACTATGGCATGTGCACACCAACACCTCTACGCAACTGCCCTCTCCTCCCAAAAGAAGCAAGCATAGCGGTAAACAAAATATCCTCACACTTTCTACCATATCACCAGGGAGTTGCACAAATGAGATCTTCAACATGACCCCCAAACTCCAAAAGTTAGGTGTTCGCGGGGATTTATCAGAACTTTTTCAGGAAAAGCAAAATGTTTGCTTGTTCAACAATCTTCAAATGCTAGAATGCCTTGAAAACTTGAAGCTTCATGGCAACTCTGAGAAAGTAGAGTTGAAGGTCCCAATGTCCGATAAGTTTCCAAGAAGCCTAAGAAAGTTGACCTTGTCTGGTACATTGTTTCAGTGGAATGACATAACTGTATTGGGAGGCCTGGAACAGCTTGTGGTGCTCAAGTTGGATGACAATGCGTTCTCAGGGAAACATTGGAATTTAAGCAGTGATGTTATTTTCAAAGAGCTTCAGTATTTCCGCATTGGTAAGATGAACCTCATAACTTGGACAGCTGTGGACTCAAAGAAAAGCTTTCCAGTTCTTGAAAGCCTGGTTCTCAGGAATTGTATTTCCTTAGAAAATATTCCACATGATTTTGCTAATGTGGACAGTCTTAAAGTGATGGAACTATTTGATGTGAGTGAAATGGTAGCTGATTTTGCAAGAAAGATTTGTGTGAAAAGGCATAGCAAAACAAATGTCAAAATCAATGGATTCGACCAACCCAGCACCTCTATTCGGTCACAAGAAATGGTAAGCATATTGTCCCAGCCTTTTCTATTGGATGAAATTGTCTCTAACTTTTTGCATGTCTTGAAAATTTATAACATTAATTGTAATTTTATTATATTTTTATTTTTTGGAAATTTTTAAATTTTTCTCCTTTTATTTTTTTCTTCTAAAATTATACAGTAAAGATCAATTTCATATTATTTTTAAATTCCCATACAACGTGAAATTGTAAGCTATGCTAAAATTTCATAAATTTGTACTCATACAACCAAAAAAAAAAAAAGTAGAAGAGAAGATATTACAAACACAGAATATTGTCATTTAAACTATTTTTAGAGAGCAAAATTACTATATGGATAGAAGTATGGATTGAAATTTTATAACATTGTAACTTCTATTAAATTTATGTTTTGATGGTGAGATTATTTGAGAGAATGAGTGGAAGATACGCCAACAGAAGTTGCAAAGCATGTTAATTATTTAGTAGATAATGAATCGTGAATTACTAGAAAGTTTGCTCAATATTTTTATTTAAAAAAAAAAAACTTTTTGATTTAATTGAAGTGATAGAAGAAGAAAGTGAATCTATATTAATCATGTACAGGTAAATAACCAAGCTACCCAAGCATATGGGGATGAACATGTCAACACCCGTGGATTCAACCAACCCAGCACCTCTACTTCATCACAAGAAATCGTAAGTATATTGTTTTAGGCCCTGTTTGGTAAATAGCTATTAGCGGATAGTTGTCAGCTGTTAGCTGATTGTGTTAATTAGAGAGTATAAAAGTTGATAATATTAGCTGATTGTAGAAAAGTGTTTGGTAAATTAGTTGTTAACTGATAGCTGTTTGGTATAATTTCTTTTATGAAAAAGCTAATTGAAAAAGTTGCTTGGAGTAGCTTTTTTAATTTTAGCCTTTTGAAGTTGCAAAAAGCTAATTAACCAAACATTTATATTGATATTTTAACTACATCAAACAATTAATAGTGGTCAAATAAGTCAAAATTGACCTATATGCCAATTTTTTACCAAACAGGGCCTTAGCCTTTTTAACCACACAACATAACCTTTAGGGAGATTTGAATTTGGAAGTGCGAATACATACATTAGATGTAAATTATATGAGATTGATGTTTTGTGGTGATATTGTTTGAGGGAATAAATGATGTATGCGTATATATGCCAACATAGGTTGCAAAGTATGTTAATTATTTACCAGGTAAAGAAGTGTTAATTATTTGAAAGTTGGTGTAATATTGAAAAAAAAAATGTTTTAAAGTTGAAGTCAACAACAAGATTCTAAGTGGAATTTTAAGAGAGATGCCTTTTAGCCTTCTTGATTTGATCCGTTCATTTATGTGCAATTTATGTTAGTTTATCTATTATTTATGATCCTTAAAGTAATACTTCAGTAGAAGAAAAGTTTGAATTGTTTTCTCGTTAAATATATTATTCTTACATGTACATAAGCAATCAAATGGGGAGAAAAATATCAACATCAGTGGATTCGATCATCCCAGCACCTCTACTTCATCACAAAGAATCGTAAGTATATTGGCTTGGCCTTTTTAACAATACAACATAACCTTTAGGAGATTTGAATTCCAAAGTGCGTATAACATACATTAGATGTAAATTATACGATATTGATGTTTTGCAGTGACATTGTTTGAGGAAATAAGTGATATATGTCAGCAGAGGATGCAAAATATGTTAATTATGTAGCAAATAAATTAAAGAATCGTGAATTACTAGAAAATTTGTTTTTGTTTTCTTTTCAAAAGACCTTTTGATTTAATTGAATGATTGGAGAAGAATTTAGAAAATTTTTATTTCAATTGATATATTATTCCTACAGGTACATAAGAAATCATAAGGTAAGGAAATTAAATAACTGTATGGATTCTTATATTTAAACAATTTTCTTTTCAACATAAAGTCCACAAAAATATTATATATTGGATTGGATTATATTAAATAGATCTTCAATTCAATTTGAATAGAAATATTTTCTATTATATGAAATTGTCTCTAAGTTTTTGAATATATGTTTTGAACATTTATAACATGAATTGTAAGTTTTAATTATGGAGTATTGTACGTGAGCATATAACCATTAATGTGCAATCCAACTATTAGCTTAGGCTTTTAGTTGAGATGGAGCACATGCTTCAATTTGTTATCGGTCATGGGTTAGAACCTCCACGTTCCCGCACACGTGTGAGCAGAGTTTTAGTTGAGATGTAGCACATGCTTCAGTTAGTATTATATTTATGTTTTGATTGAGAGAAAAAAATGATATATATGCCAACCTAACATAGGTTACGTGTTGCTTGGAATCCCGCACACGTGTGAGCAGAGTTTTAGTTGAGATGGAGCACATGTTTCAGTTAGTATTATATTTATGTTTTGATCGAGAGAAAAAAATGATATATATGCCAACCTAACATAGGTTCCAAATTATGTTAATTATTTACAAGATAAAGAATTGTTAATTACTAGAAAGTTTTTGTAATATTAAAAGAAATTATTTTAAAGTTAGTCATGTGGTTAATTTGATTACTACAAGGCTTCAAGTTTGATTTTCAGTGGGAGACACCCATTAGCCGTCTTGATTTGATCCGTTCAGAACTATATGTTCATAATTATGTTTATAATAATAGAATTATATATTCATAATTTTTGAACTATATATTCATAATTATGAACAGTTTTAGAACTGTACGGTTCCACAACATAATTTGCCAGCTCTGATACCAAATTGAAACATGTGATTCATCTCAACTAAAAGTCTAAGCTGATAGTTAGATTGCACATTTGTGTTTATATATGCTATATGCTCAAAAAGGTAGAAGTATTTTCCAGAGACTAAAATTGTCTAAGTTTTTGTATGTTTTGAAATTTTATAACATTGTAAGTTCTATTAAATTTCTGTTTTGATGGTGAGATTATTTGAGAGAATGAGTGAAAGATACACCAACAGGCAAAGCTTGTTAATTATTTAGTATATAATGAATCGTGAATTACTAGAAAGTTTGCTCAATATTTTTTTTTTTTTTTAAAAGAACTTTTGATTTAATTGAAGTGTAGAAGAAGAAAGTGAATTTATATTAATCCTGTACAGGTAAATAATCAAGTGGATGACAATGTTGCTAGTTATGAGGATGAAAATGTCAATACCAGTGGATTCGACCAACCCAGCACCTCTACTTCATCACAAGAAATCGTAAGTATATTATCTTGATCTTTTTTACCATACAACATAACCTTTTTTTGAATTCCAAAGTGCGTATAACATTTTTGTAAATTATAGGAGATTGATGTTTTGTTGTGATATTGTTTGAGGAAATAAGTGATATATATATATATGTCAGGGGAGGGTGCAAAATATGTTAATTATGTAGCAAATAAAGAATCATGAATTAATAGAAATTTTGATTTTTGTTTTCTTTTCAAAAGACCTTTTGATTTAATTGACTGATAGGAGAAAATTTTAGAACATTTTTCTTTGAATATATTATTCCTACAGGTACATAAGAAATCATATGGTAAGGAAATTAAATAACTGTATGGATTCTTATATTTAAACAATTTTCTTGTCAAGATAAAGTCCACAAAAATATTAGATATTGGATTGGGTTATATTAAATAGATCTTCGATAGATCAATTTAATTTGAATAGAAATATTTTCTATTAGATGAAATTGTCTCTAAGTTTTTGTTTGTTTTGAAAATTTATAACATGAATTGTAAGTTTTAATTATTATATTTATGTTTTGATCGAGATATTGTTCGAGAGAAAAAATGATATATATGCCAAACTAACATATGTTCCAAATTATGTTAATTATTTACAAGATAAAGAATTGTTAATTACTACATACAAAGTTTTTGGAATATTAAAAGAAATTGTTTTAAAGTTGGTTTTGCGATTAATTTGATTACTACAAGATTTCAAGTTTGACTTCAGTGGGTGACACTTATTAACCGTTTTGATTTGATCCGTTCAGTTATGGATAACCTATGTTAATTTATCTATTTATGGTCCTTGAAGTAATACTACAATAAAAGAAGAGTTTGAATTGTTTTCTCGTTAAATATATTATTCCTACAGATACATAAGCAATCAAATGAGGAGGAAAATGTCAGCACCAGTGGATTTGACCACCACAGCACCTCTACACTGTCACCAGAAATAGTAAGCATATTATATATCATTTAGCAAATATCTTACACATAAAAGATTATATATAACATAATCTTTTACTGTGGCTCAAGGCGCTTGTGGTCCTCAAGCAAGGCCTTGAATTGAAGTTAGTTTATTATATATAAACCAATTAATTTAATATTTTTCTTTTCATTTTAAGTTTCAGCAAAAAATAGGATATTGAATTAATTAGATTATTTTAAATATATTATTTGATTTTTTTAAAAAACTTAGTTGTACATTTTTCTTCAGGTTTCTGATGATGATTAATTGTTCGGTCAGCTATGTCAATTGCTTTCTTGAAATAAAAGAATTAAAGTTGATGCATTTGTTTATCTTTGCGCAATGAATGTGTGGATCAGAATTGAGCTACCTATTTTTATATTTTTCTTGACCGTGATCTAGAGGTCAGTCAAAGTCTTTAAACCTTGTTCTTTTAATATTTCTTTCAATTATTATTATTATTATTATTATTATTATTATTATTATTATTATTATTATTATTATTATTATTATTATTATTATTATTATTATTATTATTATTATTATTATTATTATTATTATTATATTTTCAGTGGATTGAGCTTGATTGCCTGAATTATAAATAACTTAAATTTATTATTATGGTTGGTCAGACATGTGGTTCGTTGTTGGATGAATTCCGAAGCAAAGCATGAGTGGGCGCGCATTATTGATGTTGAAAGCGAATTTAAACTAAGTGTGTGTTAGTGATTTCATATTGTTGAATTGGGAGATTAATTATTTTTGTATTTCCAATTTGTGATTACTTTCATATGGTATTTTGGTATCGTAGTCAAGGAGTGAAGGTTATTTATCGTTTTTCTATATATGATGTGTACTGCATATTTGTCTTGGCAGTATATATCGATTTGCTTGTGACTGAAATAAATTACATACACTTTAGACTTTTCATTTCTGTGTTCGTTTTTATCAGTTTTCAAACCATTTATTGTTTATGAATTTTCGCAGACCATGATTCACACAATGTTGCGTGGATCATTAAAAATATATATATTTAATATATTAAACTACATTATTTGTGTACGGGATGTAATCATACAAAATAATATACTTTTAGGCTATGTTTGGTAAACCTAGCTGAAAAACTATAAGCTAGGAGCTGGAAGTTAAAAAGGAGCTGAAAGCTGAAAAACTGTAAGTTAGGAGCTGAAAACTAAAGAGCTATTATAATTGAAAGTGTTTGGTAAAATTAACATTTTGATAAGCTGATAATTGTAAAAAGACTAAGAAGGACATTTTTAAAAAATTTAAAATAGTTTGTTTACGTATTAAAATTTAACATTTTGTTTTTAAAAAATATTAGTATATAATAACAATGGTACATTAAATATTTTAAAAGAATTTCATAACTAGAAAAATTTAAACAAATCAATATCTTAACTAGTTTTTTAATAATTTAATTCTTACGTTTCTAAGATAACATTAAACATATTAATTAATTTTTCCTACGAAATTATTCTCATCAAATATCTTGTTTGAAAATCTTTTTTCCAAAAATTTAATTAATTGGAGATGCTCTAAGACTAGCTATATATCCTTGTTTCCAAACGTGTTGAAGAAGAGTTGGCCTTGAATTGATGATACTATCTATGCCACTGAAAAATTAATGCTTTGCGCAGCTTACGGGCTATAGCAGCATAACAACCAACCAAACACTTAATTACTATATACACATTTCAGAGAGCATTGATTGTGCCTAGTCATGAAGGGCAGGCTGGCTCCAAGTCTCCAACAACCAATCAACTACAACGAACAAAAAAAACGAGTTGCTAAAATTAAACACTGGGCAATTCGCATACCATAAAAATTAATTATTTATGATCTGTTTAAAAAATTGACATCTTATGAACAATGTTAAAAAAATGTTTCTTTAAAATAATATAAAATATTTCCTCTGAATTGTTAAGTTTATGAAACAAAGCATTAGTTCAAAATATTTCAATACTTGTAATCTTCTTCGACAGCTGCACTAGCGTTTTAAATAACAGGGTCAAGTTCAAAACACATGTGGAGGCTGTATTGGTCTAGGAATCACAGTTGGTATTAACTCTATTTTTCAGTAAAAAAGTAATATTTTAAGTGAAAAATACAATATTTTCTAATAAAAAATTAATACTTTTAAGTGAAAATGTAGTTCTTTTCAATTAAAAATAATATATTTCAAGGAAAAAATAAAACTATTCAGTTAAACTTAATATTTTGAATAAACAGTAATGCTTTTGAAAGAAAAAGCAATTTTTTAAAGTAAAAAATGTAATTTTTCATAAAAATAATACGTATTAGTGAAAGACTAATAGCTTTTAATAAAAAAGGTAATTTTTTTAATGAAATACAATACAATTTCGTAACACATGTAGTATGAATAAGGATCAAATAAATTAGTCTTCAACATATTATAGAGGTGAAAGTTGAAAAGAATGATGGGGAATCAAGTCTAACTAGCGGCAATGTTGGAGCAACCTCTCAAAATGTTTTACATGTTTTTTTTTTTTTTCCTTTTGAGAAGATGATATTATTTATTTATTAAAATTAATTTTTCAAATTATACCTCTCCAATAGGTTATATTTGGAAGAATATATTTTTAGCTACAAATAAACTATAGTCTTTGTTTTGTAAAATATAGAGAATTTAAATTAATAACTTATTTTGAGACGAAACGCTAAATAGCGCCTCAAAATAAGCTAGTATTTAGTAGCTTTTAAGTTTTCAACTTTAAATTAGCTTACATGTTATATATCTTAAATAAAATTAAATCTTAGAAAAATTAAAATATAATTTGACCCAATTCAAACCGAAACTAAGTCATTTTTAGTTAATTTTTTAACAATGCGTTAAAGTTTTTCTATATCATCACTACCTGTCTACCATACCTATGCAGCTGCTGTACTTATATTAGTTAATTTAATTTTATGGTTGGGTGTATGGATTTTGTTGATTTATTTCTGCAGTAAAGTTTTTCTATATCATCACTCTTCCTTCAATAATGTCTTCTGACAACTACAATAATTCTTCTGACATCTAAGCTAAAATTTAAAATCGCCTTAACTAGCACTCAACGCCAAAATAATTAGAGAAATACTCCTTACTCCACACTATCACTTTCCACTCTATTTTCTATTCCATACTTACAGTTTTTTTTTTTTGAAAACTCCATACTTACAGTTAAAACTTTGATTTATACAAATAATGTGGGTCATGATTTTTATTATTTTCTTTACCTTTTCTCTCAAATAAAATCAAAATATCATTTTTCACTTTGTGTTCAATTGACACATATGTGACTCTCATTTAGGGAAAGTGGATCAAATCACGGTGGTAGGGTATTGACTCTTTGAACTACAATAGATAGAGAAAATATACTAAACAAATACTACTTTGTAATAGAGTCGATAGTACTCAAAAAAAAAAAAAAAATATATATATATATATATATATATATATATATATATATATATAAATTTCAATTAAAATGTAATATTTTGAGTAAACATGCAATACTTTAAAGAAAAAAGTAATTTTTTATTAAAAATAATACATTTTAGTGAAATACTAATCTAATCTAAAAATTAATAAGTGTGGAAAATGTTATACCATTCCTTTATATCCATTTTTTCGTTACGTTTTTTGAAACATTATGCTATAAGAATTGTACTATACAATATTTTTTAGACAAAAATACTTCTACCTTTATAAGTTCCGTTATCTTTTTCACTATTGTTATTATGCACGTACATCCACTATATATTTTCTTATCTTCTTCAATAATAATACTCCCTCCGTCCCGAATTGGTTGTCTCATTTGCTTTTTGCACGCTTTTTAATGAATTAAAGTAAATGCTATGTATTTTCCAATTATGCCCTTCACTTTTTCACTTTTGGAAATAAAAGCAAAAGTCATAAGGGTAATTTGGGAAAAAGTAGAATGATGGTGATGTTCAATTTTGGAAAGAGGACAACATTTTGGGACAAACTAAAA